TATTGATTCATTTCATCTCTATGAGGAGATGCTGATTGGCCAGGGCTGTGTTTGAATTGTGCTGGCTCTGCCCCTGATCTGCCTTCTTGTCAGTCTCAGCCAATCCTATGGAGAAGCACTGTGATTGGATCAGGCCACCACTTCTAATGATGTCAGCAGACTGCTTGTTTTTCTGAGGCAAACAGCATGCAGAGCTACAGCTTCAGGCTTGAATACAAGTAAGATGTTGCTATATTTAGGGAGGCATGAGTGGCCAGGGGGGCTAGATGGTGGTTTTAACACTATAGGGTCAGGAATACATGTTTGTGTTCCTGACCCTATAGTGTTCCTTTAAAGAAGACATCCTAGGGTATTTCACAAGGCACATTTTGAACCTTGGCGTGGGATCATTTTTCCTCTAGCTTGTACCAAGTGTAGAGGTAATAAGCATTTTTTTTTGCCTTTTTGACACACAAAGTGAGTTTGCACAATATATTTTGAAAACCTTATGTGTTCTACGACTGTATAATACTACATATGTTGCTCAGCTATGTCGTCTGAGTACAGCAATACCCCTGTATGTACCTTTGCCAGGTATATGTGGATGTTGAAGGGGCACATTTGAGACGTAGCCATTAATTTTTCTTCTAACTTTGAAGTTTTAAGCTGTGTCCATGTTCCATTTTGGAGTAGTTTAGCTGGTTGGTTTTTTTTAACTGGCTTTTTTTTTACAGATTTTACATTTTTATAAACTTTTTTTTTACCGTTAACCCCTAACTAGCAGAAAGCAGCACTAACATTAAATTCATCAATTTCCCATAACTCCCATCCACCCCAGCTAGCAAAATATATAATTTTAAAAATGTAAATTAATTAAATAAATTGATCCCCTGAGGGTTAAAAAAAATAAGGGGATAAAAACCCTAAGAGGTTAAAAAAAAAAAATCGGATCACAGTATAATACTGTGATCTGGATTTTGATCACTGTAGGTAGTGATCAACTGGCAGGAAGGGGTTAATTTTTCTTAGGACTGGGTAAAGGGGGGTGGGATTTTTTAACTTTTTTTAAACATTATTAAAACTTTAACTTTTTAAAACTTTTTGAAAACTTTTTTTAACGTTAGCTAGCCTAACACCAAATTCCCCAATTCCCCACTAACTTCCACCCACCCCAGCTAGCTAAATATATAATTTAAATATATTTAAATTAATTAATAAAATAAATTTAACCCCTGAGGGTTACAAAAAATATCAGATCACAGTAAAATTTAGTCCCTGACAATTGATCACTGTAGCCAGTGATCAATTGGCAGGGAAAGGGTTAATTTTTATTTAAAATGGGTAAAGGAGGGTGGGATTTTAAACTAACTATTTTTTTTTTTACACATGGAGAATATCATCACTGGCAGATCGGAGGAGCGTTAACCCCGCGATCGCCGCGATCTGGGGTTAACTTTAGCGCATGACGGACCCGGTCTGTCATCCGGTATTAAGTGCTTTCCCGGCATGACGGACCGGGTCCGTCATTCGTCATTAAGGGGTTAAAGGACCACTATAGTATCACCTCAGGACCCTCCTCCCGCTGGGCTAAAGGGCCCACTTACCTTTATCCAGCGCCAGGCTCCTTTGGCACTGGTGACTTCTCCTCCCCCTCCGTCAGCTCCCGAGTGGAGCCGAATGCACATGCGCGGCCAGTGCTGCACGCGCATTAAAAACGCCCATAGGAAAACATATCTCAATGCTTTCCTATGGACGTTCTGCATGCTCAATGCGATTTTCGCATTGAGCATCGGGGAAGCGCCTCTAGCAGCTGTCAGGAAGAAAGCCATTAGAGGCTGGATTAACCCTGCAATGTAAACATAGCAGTTTCTATGAAGCTGCTATGTTTACATCTGAAGGGTTAAAACCTGGGGGACCTGGCACCCAGACCACTTCATTGACTATAGTGGTCCTTTAATTTAACATTTAATTGCATACTGAGATTTGTAATCTGGGAATGTGATCAACACATACATAAGGTCTGATTCCAAATATTACTTTATCATATGCCCAGGACAATTATCTTATTTTTGTTTAGTAATGAGATACATATACATACTATTGCTTTTTACTCTGATCATCTAAATCAATAGGTATCATGCACTGGGTACCAAATCATTTTTGGGAAAAAAATTAAAATAATATAAATACAGGATGTGATAAAGAGGTTTGGTGAGTGGAACAAGTTACACTTTGATAATGAAATAGTTTTAAAAATGAATATAGCAAGATCAGTGTAAGAGTAAAGTGGCACTATCACAGTCTGGGGACTTTGCATCAATTTCTGCTGGTGGTCCAGTGGCCGTGGGAGAAGGGAAAGGTGGGATTAACTTACTTGGACTTGTCCCTTAGGACTGCCGACATTTTCTTCCGGCTGGTCCTCTTCAGCTCCTGGCGCTTCAGCACGAGAATACAGCATTGAGATCTAAGGAGGATAATACAAGACAGGGGGATCCTCCATAGATACAGCTGGGAGACTGACACGTCTATATAGTGTTAGCTCCACCCAGTGTCTAGAAGTGTCAGGTGAAGGAGGAATACTGAGACACAGTAGTTCCAACTGTCTCAGTGTATCTTTGATTGGGTTGGAATTTCATTTAAATTTCAAGAAAGTCAGTATGAGTATGTGGCAAATATTCATATAGTTATGTAACGCTAAAATGCAAACCAGTATTATCTAACTGATGCATTAGATAATCTTGTGTCTCATAATAGAAGAATTAAAAGTCAAAAGTAAAAGGTCAGTAGTTCAAGTTGTTTGTATTCTAAGATTTTTAGGTACAACAGATGCTACGGCTCTCCCTTTTTGTTAGATAAGCGCTAACAAAGGGATAGGTGTATTATATTGTGAGAAATTGTAGAAAATAGGGATAACTCATATTCCTGTTGCAGCAACTAATAACTTGTATATATGCAAAATATAAGCTCTGTGAATCAGAATCAAATTTTCACTGCTTCTCTCTCTATTGCAATAAAGATGTGTTCCTAATTTTCCACTACTCCGGCCTCTGACTGGTTAATTGGAAGAGGCCTTTTCAGGCTAAATTGGCTACTTGGCTAACAAGTATTTCATAAAGATTTTATCTATTCAATTATCTATGATATATTCATTTTGCAAGGGGAGGGGGTGACAGTGTCACTTTAATACCTTATTTTATCCTAGTAGTATGTGTCTCATTATTTCAAAGAACATATTTGAATGTTGAAATAGACTGTCATTATTCCTTGCTGTCTCGGAATCAAAGTTACACTTCAATGGTGTAAGTCTATGTCTCACCTCACCAGATGCCTGAGAATGGCAGGAGTGCCCTACATAAGAACAGGGAGATGTACCGGTGCAGCGCTTATGTGCAAAGAAAAAAGATATGGAATAAAATCAAATAAAAAGGTATATACCTTATTATTATCCCTTCTGTAAATACCTTTAAACATAAAATTCCTTTTAAATCGTTTTTAAAAAAGAATCCGATAGAATCCGATTTTTACAGAAAATAAAACTTATACTGATTTAAAACTAAAATCGCAATTCTATCCAAAACAAATGATTTCTGAGACGATGACTACTTTGAAACTATGGTGATGACCGATGTAAAAAAGCTAGAAAAAAGAGAAGAGTCTTATACAAAAAAATTTAAGGCACTTAAAGATTTAAAAGAAGATTCAAATTTAATTATAAAACCTGCGGACAAAGGGGGAGGGATAGTTTTAATGTCTAAAGATTTCTATAAAAAAAGAAGCAGAGAGAATTTTAAAAGATGAAAGTACATATAAAAAATTAACCAATGATCCAAGTATAGAAATAAATAGAATTTTTACTACATATTTTAATAAGGGTCTTAATTTAGAAATTTTATGTCGATGTCCATCTACAGCCTATAGTTAAAAAAACTAAAGCATATTTAAAAGATACAATAATGATGCTTCAGCTATTAGAAAACTGCAAATTGAATGACAAATGTTTTCTAGTTACCTGTGATGTAACATCACTATACAGCAATATCCCTCATAATTACGTAAAGGAAGTGGCCCATTGGGAAAATTCATTTATATATGGGCAGCATGACTGGGTGGAGAACTTGGTCACCTATGGCCATTATATAGACAACATTTTTTTTATATGGGAGGGAAGGGAAGAAGATTTATAACTTTTAAAAATTATTTAAATACTAATACATGGGGGATTCAATTAACTTGCAACTGGAGGAAACAAGAAATAATTTTTTTAGACTTGCATATATATACTGATAATACTATTAAAACAAAAACAAAAAAACATTTTAAAGCAGTAGAAGCAAATAGCATTATAGGTAGAGATAATTGCCATTTCTCGCCTTGGTTGGAAAATGCCCCTAAGGGACAATTTCTAAGAATAAGGAGAAATTGTACAGACATAGATATATTTAAGGTACAGTCAAATAAAATTAAAAAGGATTTCTTAGAAAAAGGATATGAAGAAAAATTGGAAGAGGAGGACCTCGGAATTCCAAGAGAATTTTTGCTTCTTATACTGTCACTGCCTGCTACTCTGTCTCTACCCGAGTTTGTGCTTTCTGTTACTCGTATGTGATGTACTTTTCAATGTCTAATGGTACAGCTAGCTTAGTATAATTTTATGTGTGGATGCATGCTTATCTATTTAAGGAGCACACACCCAGATCTATCACATATTTTAGCAAATTGGCCCAGATTTCTAAAATAAATTTTTCAAATGTCTTATGACTCTAAAGACTCTTCTTCACCTGAACTCAGAAGTTCAGCATCAGTTGGTGAATGTGGATAATATTTCTGTGGTGGCTTACCTAAAGCACCAAGGAAGACCCGTAACAAGATAATTATGAAAACTTTAGTCCCTTTGATGATTTGGGTTCAGGCCAATGTCGAAGGATTGTCTGTGGTATAACTTCCAAGAAAGATCAACCAGAAAGTGGATTTCCTCATCCAAAATTCAGTACACTCAGTACAATATTTTCTATTGAACTGGGCCATCTAGATGATCTTGGACAAATGGGGAGCTCACTCAGGGCTTCACATAATAATACAGTGGCAACCGGGAGTTCAGGAGATTCTTTCAAGATCCCTTAACCATAAGCTGATGCTCTTTCGTGTTTCTGGAGAACCAGGGGGTTTATGTCTTCCCTCCATTCCTATTCTGGCTCTATTGAGAGGACTTAAGAAAAAGATGGAGGTTCTAGCAGTAATTCATCACACCAGCCAAGGAGACTTTCTTTCCCTTCTTATTGAGCCTTTCTAGAGCTGTTCTTCTTTATCTCCCAGCACGACCAGACCTGCTGTTTGAGGGGCCTCCCATCCACCTCCACAGCCCCTGCAACTGATGGCCTGAAAATTGAGGAGAAGATTGAGAAAGAAAGGGGTCTCGGAATCCATGATCTCCATGTTATTACGAGCAAGAAAAAGATCAGCCTCTTCCCTTTTTTGTTTATCAAGTATGGGACATATACTGTTATTTTACTGCTATGAATGGTGTTTCTCCTTTATCCTTTTCTGCTTCAGAACTATTAAAGGGACACTATAGGCACCAGAACAACCATAGCTTAATGTAGTTGTTCTGGTGTCTATATCCTGTCTGTGCAGACTTTTTAATGTACATGTGGTCTTTTCAGAGTGTTTACATTACTGCCTAGGGACACCTCCAGTGGCAGTCACTCAGACAACCACTAGAGATGCCTCCTGCCACTCTGCATGAAGGTGCTGAACATTCCCCATAGAGATGCATTGAGTCAATACATCTCCATATGGAGATGCTGATCAGCAAGGGTGTTTTGCCACACATGCATGATACCTTCCCAATGCTTTCCCATGCAGAAGTCTCAGAGCATTATCCTTGCCTCCTTTAATGCAAACAAGGTGGTCCAAAAGAGAGTGCCTGAATTCCTAAAAATTACTTCCAGTTTCCCTAGGGAAGTTGCTGCACATGAGTTCCCAAGCCAGACATATGGTCTACATGGTCCTCTTTTAAATGTATGATTCTTGAAAGAAGCATAATTTGTTTGGTGTTATGAATCAAACATGGTTCTCAGCAGAAATGTTGTGCTATTCTATTTTGTTCTATCCCTGCATTATTTTTAAGCTTGGAATGTGCCTGAATATAGTGCTGTCATGGCAATGGTTGGTAAAGAGGAAAATACATTCATACTTACCGGTTTTCCTCTCCTGATAATGGGCCATGGCAGCACTTCATATCCTCCCTGGACTTGTGGCTAAGTTATAAAGAGGGGCTCCTGTGCAACCCAAGGGTAGTGCTGCCATGGCCCATTATCAGGGAAAAATATCAGAAAGTATGAATTATCCTCTATTTTTGAAGGCTAGGCTGGCACAACCAAGAAAAGCGCTAAATATTTAACAATAATCAGACATGAACGATTTCAGAACTTGTTGTTAAGAATTGTCTAGTCACTTAATCTATTCCATGTGATGGATTTAAGCTACCGGTATATTATAATTTGAATATATTTTCTATGGAATGCGCTCATGTCATGCTGACTAAAAAACGATGACCAAAGAAATTTAAAAATCTAAAGAATAGATATTCTCTGTGATACAGTTCTTTGTGACTAAATGTTTTCACATTGCAGATACATTTGTCAGTAAAAGTGTATCATTTATTAGTGGATCTATGCTCTATTAAAAAATTGTATGTATCCCACAATACTGTATTGTGTTAAGTGGTGTACGAGTGTCTCCAAAACCAGGAGTGCCATTATTTTCTCACAGTACATATGTCAGCATTATTTATTTTTATATTATACAAATTTCTTTTTTTATTTATCCGTATTAGTGCTAGAGCTCCTTTCGGGCAGCACAAGGACACGCTTATCGCAGTCTGCCGAAGACTTTTTGAGTTATGCTCGGTTTTCCCAGCCCCTCTTCCTGCAAGTCAGTTTTTGAAGAAAAGTTATTTATTATTGGCAGGTAGTGTTGCATGTATGTTCTGACCTTGCCATTGGGATTCCAGGCCTTTTAGTGCAAAGTGTACATCACACTGTACATTACAGCTTTTAATGCATGATATGTCACCTAAGATGTGGTAAGTGGTTTGAAAATATAGTCCAATGTGGTGCCCACTGAAATGACGGTCAAAGCTATATTTCTCATCTGCTTTTACTGGTTCGTTTTTTTTAAGTAATTTGCAATAAAATGAAAAAAATACAATAAAGATTATAAAATCACAAATAATAATTTGCAATAAATTAAATATTACTACATGTTTATTCACTAAACAGATTGCAGTGGCATGACAAACAACCTGCAAAAGGTAGCTGGATGTGTTTTGATCTAAATTACGAAACACCGCTTTCATGTTGCACAACTTGCTCAGTGAATAAACACCTATATGTTTACTGTACTCTCTTACTTCCAAAAACAAAAACTTAAGGAACACAAAGAGGCAAATTTTGATTGTCTCTCCCGGGTGGGAAACAGTTATTCATTAAAATGGAAACTATTGAAAACTGAAAAGGAAACTGCAAATTGTGGCAGAACCTGTGTATTTCCATGGATTACTGGCACAGGACTCTATTATACTGCATCATCAAACAACTATATCACTCCTTTGGCTCTTCTCTACTCAACCCTTCATGTATTCTGTCAGCACACACTCTCATTTTAACCAGTAGCATTGTCCTTCAAGGCTGGAGCACCCGCAAAATCTTCAGTGGACCCTAATCCTCTGGAACTCCTGTGCGACCCATTTTACCTACTTTTGCAGATACCTAAGAGAGTGCTATTTGGAGGGGAAGTAAGGAGGGACATTACCAACAATCCCTAGCCAAGAGCCAGGGGGAGACAACTTTTTCAAGACCGCAGGAACTCCCAATTAAAGACCAGCACTTAGCCGCCATCAGTCTGGAGTTCCACGCTAGATCGAGATGTGCCCAATGCCCAGTCAAAACTTTATTCAATGATCCCTTGGGCTTGGCACCTCTGATCTGGCTAATATTTGGACATTATACTGTGGGAACCGAGACCTGGCCAGGGATATGTAATTCATGCCGAGTGCTTGTATATTTTAACTTATTGTAGAGTTGTGGAAGAACCAGCCCTGACTGCAAGCAACTTGGTGCCTTCGGCATGCAAATCACAAAATACTTAACACTACCAATAGTCTAGTTTCTTAAGTTACTCAGAAGTTTTCTAAAAACTGCAAATGGAGGGATTCTTTTCCAATCAAAGACACACACACTGCCATATTTTTGAAAGCTACTAGATTTACATAAGTAGTCATAACAAAGTCTATAGCTTCTGCACACTATTTTCACAGGCATTTCTTCTTTGTTGAGGTGGTGTAACAGGAGGCTGGCATGGTTTTATTCCCAAAGAGTTTTCATGCAAAAGCTTGTGCTGCCTTAGGTTTCTCCCACTCACGCTCAAACCCTATATCTGTAGACTGTTTCTGAGCAACAGTTTTTACGGCATGGATGGCATAGTTAATGCTGGTGTCCTCGATCCAACTCCAAGAACCAGACAGTGGATTGTACAACATTCCCCTTAGGGTCTCTACAACATAACCATCTGTGTAGATAAATAATATTTGTTAGTCAGGTAAGAAAACAAAAATATACTTTAAAACAGTGGTTCTAATTATCTACAAGCAAGACCTAAAAGACTCACTTGATTCTAAAATCCGCTCCAATTCCTCTGGAGAGATAAATTTTTCCCAGTCATGAGTGCCCTCTGGGACAAGGCCCATTATCTTCTCAGCTACCACTATACCTAAAGCATAGGATAACTTGGTTTTGTTGATAGTTGTAATAATAAGAGATCCACCTGGCTTTGAGAAACAAAAGTGAACTTAAACGAACATTATTTTTAATCACAGTTTTGTTTTTAGTAATGTACCATGATATTCATTATCGTAATACACTAAAACAAATTATATATAAAATATATAAAATTAATTTATATTTATTTGTGATGGCCTACCTTTAGTAAATGGAAGCAGTTCTGGATAAATAATTCCTTGTCAACCACATGTTCTATAACTTCAGATGCTACAACTGCATCAAAATATTGCTTGTTTTCATCCACAATGTCTTCCAATGAGCATGATCTGTACTGTATCATGTGTTCAAGGGTAGGATCATAGGATTTGTGCAGTTCTGCCGTTTTAATGTTATCCTCCAAAGGATCTATTCCTGTAACTGTAGCTCCAAGTCTACCAAGTGGCTAAGAGAGGGTAGATCACAGTAGAGAATAAAATAACATTTAAAATCAGTTTTATGCAAAAAAAATAAAAACCCCAGAACATGGTTTTAAAAAAAAAAAAAAAACACACGCACTATGGAAGATGTAGTCCACAATATTTAAAAACCAAAAGGTTGCCTACCTCTGTTCCAAGACCTCAGTATCCGCTTAATTCCTATTAAAATTTTTATTAGTTTGCCAAAGTCCTACACAAAATGTTGGTGCTAGATAAACACCAAAAAACAAAAATCTATAGGAAGGAAAACACTCCACTGAAAAAAGAAATACAAAAAAACAAAAACACACAAAAAAATCATTGTGCCACTTCACTCCCAAAAATGGTCACTGCATCTTTAGCATGTATGTACACTAATGGGCAAATGCACTGGGACACACCTCCTAATTATTGAATACAAGGTGTTTCAATTAGACCCACACTATAAAATCAAGCACCTAGCCATACAGTCTGCATTTACTAGCATTTGTGAAAAAAATGGGTGTGAAGAGCTCGGTGAATTCAAGTGTGGTACTGTGATCGTATGCAACCTTAGCAATAAGTCAGTTCGTGAAACTTCATCCCTGCTAGATATTCCACTGTCAACTGTAAGTCGTATATTTGGAAAGTGGAAATATTTAGGAACAGCAGCAACTCTGCCACGAAGCGGAAGACCAAGTAAAGTCACAAAGCGAGCTCACCGAGTAATGAAGCACATGGTGCGTAAAACTCACCAATGCTCTGCTGATTTCATAACTAAAGAGTTACAAACTTCCACTGGTGTTAATATCAGCAATAAAATTGTGCGTCAAGAGCATCATGGAATGGGTTTCCATGGCCGAGCAGGAACATGTAGGCCTCACATCACTAACTACAACGACAAGCGTTAGATCAAGTAGTGTAAAAGCACAACACCACTGGACTCTGGAGCAGTGGAAATGTATTCTGTGGAGTGACGAATCACGCTTCTCTGTTTGGCAGTGTGATGGGTGATGTCAGGAGAACATTGCCTGCCTGACTGTACTGTGCCAACTGTAAAATTTGATGGAGGAGTTATAATGGTATGGGCTGTTTCTAAGGGATTGGGCTAGGCCCCTTACTTTCAGTGAAGGGAAATCTCAATGCTTCAGCATACCAAAACATTTTGGACAATGCTATGCTTCCAACTTTATGGGAAAAGCTTGGGGAAGGCCCTTTTTTATTCCGGCATGACTGTGCCCCAGTGCACAAAGCAAGGTCCATAAAGACATGGTTGGATGAATTTGGTGTGGAAGAAATATACTGGTTTGCACAGAGCCCTGACCTCAATCCCATCAAACACCTTTGGGATTAACTGTAACAGAGATTGCGAACCAGGCCTTTTCATCCAAAATAAGTGCCTGACCTCACAAATGCTCTGTTGAATGAATGGGCAAAAATTCCCACAGTAACACTCCAAACTCTTGTGGAAATCCTTCCCATAAGAGTGGAAACTGTTATAGCTGCAAATAGGATATGAACTACATAGTAATATCTATGTATTTAGAAAGCGAAGTCATGAAAGTCTATGTTGGTGTAATGGTCAGATGTCCAAATACTTTTGTCTATAGTGTACATTGAATATGTACTAAACAAGCTGCTTAATATGTGCACTTGCACTTATGGCATATTCCTTAAAAAATAAAAATAAATAAGTACCAACCCCCTCCTTCCCAATAATAATGGAGAGTTGCTAGAACATACGTTTTTACAGTAAATCATTACAGCTATGATAAGGCCAAGACTTCATTGCAATAACAAATATAATAATTTCAGTAAATTGTCATTTAAGAAATTTAGTTCAATATTACCTCAGACAAAATTCCTCCTCCACAGCCAACGTCTAAGAGAGTCACACCTGCCAGAGGACACCCAACATCGTGACTGTAGTCCTTGCTCATAAGGATGTCTCTAAGAATACATAAAATTAATTTTTGAAACCAAGTGCAAAATATTCTTTATCAAGTGCAAAATATTACCATCTAGAATTACACCAGTAATATATTCCAACAGGTAAATCTTTCAAGATAACTGAACATTTACATCTTAATAAGACCAAATCTACCGTTATTGCACTTATATCAATATCATAGTGGTAGGTCTGTAAAAAGCACTACAGCAGGATATCTAAATCCACAGTAAGTCCAAAGCACTAAAATATTTCTGAAATGTTTACAGTCCATTAAATATAAACCCCATCAAACTTTACTACAAAAAAAACAACAACAAAAAACAACTGAATTATAACTAACTTATAACAAAAGTGAGGTGAATTTTGACAGACAGTAAATACTTGATACCTTATGAAGGGCACACGAATTTCATTCATTGCATGGAGCGGAGAGTAGACTCCTTCCTCATCCCACCATTTTGATGACCATGCCTGGAATTTCTTCATCTCCAGAGGATCTACAGTATGTGAAGTGGTGTGCATCATACCAACAGGACATCTACAGCACACAAATTTGATTTAATAATGAAATATTATGTGAAAGCACTATAAGTATGTTAATTATTGAGAAAGAGCATCACAGACATCTTTGAACACCATAGATTTGTATAGAAAATAGACAGGGACTGCACACATTCCTGTGACCTGCAGATGTTAACCAACCAGGAGTTGGTACAAACTCCATCAACCACAGTAGAGTCCAAAGATGTACGGGAACACAAATAGCTCAATAAATAGCAGCTTTAATTGGATTGAAGTGCACATCAACAACATCAGGCTCACAATGAGGTCTCTACTTTGTCTCGGTGAACACCATAGATAGTCACAGACATGCCAGATTAAATGTACATCTGGCCATAGGGAATCCAGCAATCAGTAGAAGAAGATGCAGTCACCTTAAATTGTTACAGACAAAACTAAAGGTTGTGACTGAAACACCATAATTAAACAGACACTTTAATAAACATCGATTATCAATCAGAAATATACTGAGATTTTTCTAAAAGAGAGAGGTGAGACACTAGAAGAAAATTGTACACATCGTTTTGCAAATTTCTGCACAGATTTCTCATTCAGTTGAATGAGCAGTGCTGCAGGATTTTATGGCAAATGTACGCAATAACATTCATATGCATCTAAATTGGTGCTTGAACACAGCAGAAAAATATGTATTAAAATGTGTTTTAGATGGAGAAAACAAAGTAGACTTTAATAAATCTTTTATACAGAAAAGACAGAAGGAATAAGTGGTGTTATTTAAAATATAACCCAGTGCAGCAAAAACAACCAGAATGTATTGTTCCTAAATACACTCAATAAATAGATAAAACCCAGTACAAAAAAGGGAAAGCGCTCAAGTTGATTATATTTTATCTTTTTAGTATATGATAGACAGGACTTTTTCAATAGAAGTTATTAGAAGACAATTCTAAAGATTGGCTCTGAACTATAGATGCAATTCATCCACAATAGGGATAGATGGTTATAAATGAGGTCTCACTGAAATTCGGCGCCAATCTTTAAAATAGCTCTGTAAATTGGGAGTATTCCATTTTAACCATACCACCGTAATATTGATTTTTTACATATTAGACTATGGTACTTTTTATGCTTCTACTATACAGGGTCTGCTAATAACTTTTGTTGAAAAAGTACCATTCTATCATATACTAAAAATGTAAAATATAATTGTGTGCCCTTTCACTTTTTGTACTTGGCATTAATACATCTTTAGTTATTGCCTTTATAAATACTTACAATTGTTTGCATAAGCCTGACAATCGCAATGGATCACTTCTCCTTCTGGTAAAAAGTAGCTTCTTTTGAACACACGGTTGATAAGCAGCTATTATTAGAGAGGATAAAATGTGATGTTATTAACGATGTTATCATTTATTAAAATAGCATACCTTGTAAGTAATCCATGTGACATCGTACAGCAAGCGAATACAACGCTTAAAGGACCACTATAGTGCCCTGAGGGTGCCCCCACCCTCAGGGTCCCCCTCCCGCCGGGCTCTAGGGGGTGGAAGGGGTTAAACGTACCTCTTTCTCCAGCGCCGGGCGCGGGACTCTTCTCCTCCTCCTCTCCTCCTCGGCTGAATGCGCATGCACGGCAGGAGCCGCGCGCGCATTCAGCCATTCCATAGGAAGGCATTCACAATGCTTTCCTATGGACGCTGGCGTCTACTCTCACTATGTAAAATCATAGTGAGAAGCGTGGAAGCGCCTCTAGCGGCTGTCAATGAGACAGCCACTAGAGGCTGGATTAACCCATTTATAAACATAGCAGTTTCTCTGAAACTGCTATGTTTATAGAAAAAAAAGGGTTAAACCTGGCTGGACCTGGCACCCAGACCACTTTATTAAGCTGAAGTGGTCTGGGTGCCTATAGTGGTCCTTTAAGTGAATTACTTAGTGATCATGCTAAGAAAATAGAAGAGTCTATAATGAATTCCGACAACAGCAGTGTGGCCAGCTCAGTAGACGCACACAGAGAGCATTCATGAAAGCTGCAAAAGAGCAGGTAACAGTGCACAGTTTTCTAAGGGTTAGTTAGAGTGAGCGGATAAAGGTAAACAGTATAAAATTTACTTTTGAAAAAGCAGCACGCAATGAGAGAGAAAAGAAAAAGAAAAAATATGCAAACCGCCTGGTCAGATATTACACTAATATAAAAGAAAGATGCCAGACTATAAGGAGAGTGAGTGTGAAACTAGAGAAGGGAAGAAATTACATGAACATTTTAACAGACACTTAGAAAAAAAACAAAGAATAACCCATCTGCTGACACATACATTTTCTTATGCTTGGCACACTGTAAGGAAAAGCAGAATATATGGATTTTCTATTGGAAAAATGAGCCAAAGTTAACCTCTTAAGGCACACTCAATTTACATCAGTCTGTCATGCCATAGCTCAATGCTCAGCATATAAAGGGACACTGTAGACACCAGAACAACAAAACTTAATGTAATGGTTCTGGTGTCAATAGCTTGCCCCTCCAGACTTTTCAATGTAAACGCTGCCTTGTACATTGAAAAGGCAATGCTTACATTGGTGCTAACTAATACCTCTAAAGTCAGTCACAGATGCTTCCTGTGTCAGTGCAATGCTCTGCATAGATACACTGAACGTTACCTATAGATGCACTGAATCTATGCGTCTCTATAAGGAGATGCTGATTGGAAAAGCACTGTGTTTTTCCTGTACATGCGCAATAGACTACCAATGCTTTCCTATGGTAGACGATTGGATTGGCTGAAATTTATCAAAATTGCCAGCCATGGCAAGACTGGCGTGGCTTTGGAGAAAATGTGAGAAAACTCACCTTCTTAAATCATTCTGGGGCTGGGGATTTAATCCTGAATTCCAAGACTATAATGTCAGGAATACATGTTTGTATCCCTGACACTACAGTGTTCATTTAAACACAAATAGTTTTTTCCCCCTTTGTTTATGTCTCAAATCATGCAAGATTATCCACCAATGTGAGAATTGTTGGCAATTCACAGTTAAATCCAATTTTAAGGGCAACATAACCAAACTAGAGGCATAGCTGAGATGGAGATTTTTTCCAGTACAGCTACTGATACAGAATATGTAATACATATCCTGTGAGACATGTCAACAAACTATTTCCTACTTTAAGCAAAAACACCTTTATAAAAAAAATAATTTTTATATTTTATTTTTTTTTAAATTATTTTACATGCCATTTATGATGTATTAAAATGGAAGAGGACAATGGTCCTGGAACATCCCTTTAACCCTTTAAGGACTGATCCAAATGTACACATTGTGACCAAAACAAAACAAAATCTGGAATCTGATTATATGTCTGTTCAACCGTATATATTAAGTGCACCCAAACTTATTATATATTAAAAGGCTTGGCCTGTAGTTGTGGGAGGGGCTTGGTTTCCCTTTAAAAGGGCTGCCAATCCACTCCCACATTACCGTAATGGTCTGGCGAGTCTGAAACGTTACTTCCGGTTCAGACCGCCATTTTGGATTCCTCTTACCTGTTTCCTCGTGGTCTCCTGGTCCGGTGCCCTCCTGAGTGGTTCCGGGCTCTCCAGGGCGCTTTTCCCGCCGTCACCGCCGACTGCACAGCTTCCCCGGTACTGCTGCCGCCAAAAAAAAACAAAAAAAAACGTAAGTGGGCCCGCCGTAAAGCAAACCGCTTCACATTTACGGCTTACACGGCGGAGCCCCATTCGCATTCAAACGCATTCGGTTATTTTCGCCTAAATACACTTCGCCGCTAAGCTATGTAATTCATGTTTTAAATTTCATACGAACGCTACATTCGGCTAGATACTTAGGATTTCTACTTTACAAAATAGTCATTATATACTATCATCACATTCGACTCAAATTCGTGCATTTCTCACTAATTATACAAGATCCTGCATCCACTTCTTAGGTGGAATCTCGCCCCCTACAGGTCAATAATGATATAGCACCAAAATAAATAAAAAAAAAAAAAATAAAAAAAATACAAATTAAAATGTATTAAATTATGCTACACTTAATTCAATCCTGATTTCTGACATCTTCAAACAGGTTACCTTACCAGAATTCATATTAAAATTTGGGGACCCAGTGATCGGTATCAATTATACTTTATAGGTTGGTAACATTGTCATATGATTCATATAAATGACCATATAAACATATGATTTTAGGTAAAATGTTATAATTTACTCTCCTAGGTTTAATCATTGGAACGGTAGCTTTTACAAGCAAGGAGCCGGTTTCTTTTGATTATATCTCCTCCGCAGTTATCGGGTAGGTTCTGGTCCACGATCTGGCCTAACTACCACCCCACTTTCCAGATATTTACTTATCATCTTATACCTACAGGTCAAACTACCCGACAAATATCACAGTTACGTCATTGAGAGATCAGCCTGACTCACTATCAGGTACTACGCCAGAACCCAATATACCCTAAAAATATTGAGGGGTACTGGTCCTAGGTTAGGTGGCCCAATTAGTTAAAATATTTCTGGTCTTAATCCATAGGCTAGTGGTCCCGCGAGGCCAACATCCCTAACCTCACACTCGGAGGTAATACGTCCCTCGGGCCAAATCATAGCTAGCCGCCTCGCATTAATATACAGAGAGGGCCTCACCTGTCACTCCCAATCTTTTTTATGCTTTAAATGACACCGAGAGGCCTACACCCCGCCACAACGTTCGGTGGCCTCAATCTTCCCCTCAGGCCCACGCATAGATAGTGCCTCTCAAGCCGCTTGGCAACTAGCAGGGTCTCATCTGTCACTCTCAAAAGAAGTTTAATTGTTTCACCGCTTGGTACTTAGCTAGCCCACCAGTACCCACCCACAATACATTTCATACGACTGACTGTTTATATTTATAATTTCAGTTATGTCACTAACACCTGATATCCCTGAAGAACTGTCACTACCTAGCACACCCACTAGGCCTGCCACCCCTGTTCCGGGTACAGATGTGAATAGCCCTGCATCCCTTAGATCATGGACCATCCCACGTCTTACAGCTGAACTAAGAAGACGCTGCATCCCTTTCCCGGCTACAGCTAGGAAGGCGGAGTTGTATAGGCTATTATACACTACCACTGACAACTCCGATGCAGGGGAAGGCACTAGTGGATCGCAAATACCAGCATTTCATGCTATGATGACGTCCCTTATGACATCCATAGGGACAATCAGCGACAGGCTGGACAAATTGGAGGCCGGTAGTGTTACTCAGTCCACAAATGCAACGGTCACCACTCAGCCTCTTGCTAATACCTTACCCGGTAATACCCTGGCAGCTACGGCTGACATAGAATCCATTGATCCTTCACATATGGTCCCAGCTCACCTTAAAAAAGACATTCTGGAAGGCAAGGACGTTAACCTAGCTTCATTGCTCATTGCCTCCCAGGATGTCCTTGAAAACAGGACCTTTGCTTGTAGGGATGTTTCCGTAGTCCTTAGAGCTAGAGACCCTCGCCTAAACAAAAAATTGAACATCCCAGAATTTGTATTAGGGTTTGGCATCTATAGGGATGTATATTGCACTGTATACCCAGGGAAAAGAGCCGAGCTGGATACGTACATGCACAAGTTGGTGGATCTGGGACACAAATACGGTGGTACAGCGTTCTACGATTACCATCGTTCCTTCTCTGCAAAAGTGGCAGCAGCTCTGGCTCAGTTCAACTTAAACATCAATTGGAGCAAGTTGGACACTGAGCTATTCTGTAGGCACTTTGCAGGCCTCAGGCCCCCAACTTGTGCAGTATGCTCATCAGCAACCCACAGCACAAATTTCTGCCCTAATACAGCTGAGGTAGAACAAAACCAAGCAGCAACTTACCCCCCAAGATCAAACAAAGGTTTGAAAGACAAACTAGGAAGAGATATTGTCTTCTTAGGGAAATCCCAAGTATGTAACAATTTTAATGCCGGCAATTGTGGTTTTAGTTCCTGTAGACTAATGCATGTTTGTTCACATTGTTTCAGGGCTCATTCCAAGACAATGTGCCCAAATAAAGCTTTCCCAAAACCCTATCTCACATGCGTGAACCTCAGCTTATTCACCGATTTGCTACGTCTACACCCATCACGACACTTCAGCGACTATCTCATAACAGGATTAGCAGAAGGATTTCACACAGGGTTGATACATTTACCCACAGGCACACTGGAATGTGACAACTTACTTTCCACACGGGATGACCCACAGCTGGTACTTAAACTTATCACAACCGAGGTGAAACAAGGTTTTTGCTGGGTCCATTCCTTTCACCACCCTTCAATTCTTGGAGAACCAATCCCATTGGGATTGTCACGGGGAAAAACTCACTTAAACCCAGGCTGATCATTGATTTATCCGCACCACATTCCTCCACGGTCCCTAGCCTAAATTCACTGATACCATCTGAAGAGTTTTCACTACATTACGCCACTATCGACCATGCCATCGGGGCTATCATTAAAGCTGGCACAGGGGCATGGTTAAGCAAAACGGATGTAGTAAATGCCTTCAAACTACTGCCTATGCACCCTACACTTTGGCACCTTCACGGCATTAAATGGGAAGGGTTATACTATTTCTTCACTCGTCTCACTTTTGGCTCTAAGAGCAGCCCGCGTATTTTCGACACATTTGCAGAGGCTTTATGTTGGTTGTTGCTAAATGTTTACCAATGTCCCTCTGTGATTCACTATTTAGACGACTTCCTCACAATTGAGAACAACACAAGTCCACCCACAAGTTTAAAACACATGTTGGCATTATTTGAGTCACTTTCTGTTCCAGTCTCCCCACACAAGACCCTGGGGCCCGCCACCCAGATGCAATTTTTAGGAATACAACTAGACACAGTACACATGCAGGCCAGCCTCCCTCAGGAGAAAATTGAGCGTATCCTGGCAAGTATTGACCACTACCTACAGCAAGGTCGTTGCACTAAGAAAGACCTACAATCATTGCTGGGATCGCTTAATTTTGCAATGAGAATCATTCCCCAGGGGAGATCATTTATTTCACATTTGCTATCACTATTTCCACAATTCACCTCAGACACATCTTACATTTCACTAGACAAACATGCGACATCCGATTTGAGCATGTGGAGGATTTTCCTCACTTCTTGGAATGGGCGTGCCATGTTTATACCATCTCACTCAGACACTTCACCCACAATATGGACAGACGCTGCAGCAAACACGGGGTTTGCAGCCATATGGGGTGACATATGGCTCGTGGGGCCATGGCCAACTGAGGTCAAATCACTCACAAAATTCACAGAGACCTCAGCTTTATTCGAATTGTACCCCATCGTGGCTGCGGCCGTTACCTGGGGCCGCCAGTGGTCCGGTCACACGGTGTGGTGCTATTCTGATAATATGGCTACTTGCCATATTGTCAATAAAGGCCGGTCTTCATCCCTGGTAATTATGAGGCTATTGAGGTGACTCACATGGATAGCAGCCACTTGTCAATTCTTTCTAACATGTATTCACGTTCCAGGGTGCACAAACATCAGTGCTGATCACTTGTCTCGATTTCGTTTTCAGGAATTCTTCACGACACTACCCACCGCCTCCAGACGGGCAACTCCAGTCCCACTTTTCACAGACATGATAATGGATTAAAAGTTTTGTTAAATCACGCACGTCACATTTCTCACATGGCACTCTCTGTAAACACTAGAAACACTTACGACAGAGCTTTTCACATATTCAAAAAATTCATCACTGAATTTCACATTCACGATATGTTCACGATAGAAACAATATTGGGTTTCACTTCTTTTTGCCACATCAACCTTAAACTATCATTTAACACTATAAAACTATACCTTACGGGAATTCAACACCACATGCTAATTCAACAACCCAACACCACGAGTTTCCTGTCCTCATATCAAATCAAGACAGTTCTTAGAGGCATTAAGAAATTAGATACACATATCCCCGAGAAACGACTACCTATTGATAACCACATATTTCATGCACTAGTAAACTTGTTAGATTCCTCTCCTTTTGAGCCCAGGACAAACACGGTAATAAAATCAGCCATATATCTTGCTTTTTATGGATTCCTCCGTCCCAACGAATTCACAACTAGGACTATCACGCCCCCTGATTACCTAAGAATTATGGACTTAGCGAAACAAACGACCATTACCTACTCACGCTAAAACACTCAAAAACCAGGCCATAGGTCATACCGTTACGATCCCCTTATACCCTACTCATAACAAATGGTGCCCTGTACAAAATTTTGACAATTATCTTTTATCACTCCACAAACAACCATTACAACCTTTGCTAGAACTGCACGGTAACGTTCTAACTACAGTAAAGTTTATGCTATATGTAAGACTGCTGTTGACTAGACTCGGCTTGAACCCTAGTCAATTTTCGGGTCATTCTTTCCGAATAGGAGCAGCATCTACAGCTTCTGCTAACCACATTCCTCCGCACATCATCAAAACAATGGGACGCTGGAAATCTTCCGCTTATACTCTTTACATACCCAATCCTGTTAAAGAATTAAGACTAGCTTTCTGTGATTTATCTAAATAAAGTTTGGTCAACGTATTACGTCTTATGATAATTTATTTTTGCCCACTTTTACAGGCCTACTCCTCTGTCGGTTTCGGCACACCACAACCGACTAATTCCAATATTGATATGTTATCATATGCTATGTTTCCATATACGGCTATATTGCCACGACCACAAATTAAAAGGCTTGGCCTGTAGTTGTGGGAGGGGCTTGGTTTCCCTTTAAAAGGGCTGCCAATCCACTCCCACATTACCGTAATGGTCTGGTGAGTCAACCCACCCACCACTCCCTCTATTATAAACACCCTCTAAGGTGGGCCCACTTTTACAGGCCTACTCCTCTGTCGGTTTCGGCACACCACAACCGACTAATTCCAATATTGATATGTTATCATATGCTATGTTTCCATATACGGCTATATTGCCACGACCACAAATATATATATATATATATATATATATATATATATATATATATATATAAATAATTTTATTCAGGGAAACAGGGCTTTCATTTAACATCAAATATTTAGCTATGAAACAATTTATTATGAATAAGACTTTTTAAAAATTTTTAGTTCTAAGTGACATTTTAACTCTGAATGTCATAATGCCAATTGCTTTTACTGCAATAAAATACACATATTTGTATTCAGCAATGTCTCACGTGTAAAACAGTACCCCCTATGTACAGGTTTTATGGTGGTTTGGGAAGTTACAGGGTCAAATATAGCATGTTAAATTTTTCAGTTTTTTCACATTGAAATTCGCCAGTTTGATTACGTTGCCTTTGAGACCTTATGGTAGCCCAGAAATGAGAATTACCCCCATGATGGCATACCATTTGCAATAGTACACAAAATGGAGAAATAAAGTAAACAGAGTGCAGGTCAGGAGTCCGGATACAAGTCAAGGGCTCATGAGCTGCACCACTGTAACTACCTAATAAGGAGCAACCCTCCAAAATATGTAGGAAATAGGAGAAGGTGATGTATAGAGTCCCACAAGGGGAAACTAACATCAGGAGAGCTTCACTGTATAAGAAATGAGGAAGGGAGGCCCTAGCTTTAATCAATCTAAGGATAAAAAGGGATATGCAAACAAAAAAGTATAACTTGAAAAAAGGGAGATCTACTAAACAGTACCCAGGGGATCAATTGTCTGGAGTACTAACTAGCATCTAAGTTTCAGTTCCCCTAGTGTCCGACTGACGGGAAGGTAGTGTAAACGAGGTTAGGGAGAGAGAAAAGGCACAGGGTCCCCAGAGAACAAGGGACCAGGTAATCTGGTCTAAACCCAGATGAAAAGCCTCACACAAAAAATAAATAAATAATAGATTTGTTTGTGTGTGAAAAATGCAAAAAAACTAATTTGAACGCCAATTTTGGCCAGTGTTTGTGACTAAGTGGCTACTAAAAAAGACTGGACCTACCCCGTTTACAATACCTTGGGTTGTCTACTATTGCAAATGGTATGCCATCATGGGGGTAATTTTCATTCTTTGGCTACCATACGGTCTCAAAGGCAATGTAACCAATCTGGCGAATTTCAATATGAAAAAACTGAAACGCAAGCCTTAGATTTGACTCTGTAACTTTTGAAATCACCATAAAACCAGTACATGAGGGGTACTGTTATACTTGGGAGACTTCAATGAACACAAATATTAGTGTTTCAAAACAGTAAAACGTATCACAACAATATCGTCCGTATAAGTGCCATTTGGTGTGAAAAATTCAAATAATTTCACTTTCATCGTTGTAATAAATGTTACTGTTTTGAAACACTAATATTTGTGTTCAGCAAAGTCTACCGAGTAAAACAGTACCCCCCATGTACAGGTTTTATGTTGTCTTGGAAAGTTACAGGGTTAAATATAGTGCTAGCAAATTAAACTCCCCATAATTTTGGCCTGGGTTGTCAGGCAGGTCCCGCAAATTCTAATGAATAAAATTACCTAATTATGTAAAATTATTACATATACATACACATATATATATATATATATATATATATATATATACACACATACACACACGTATATACTTATGTATATAGATGTTATTTAGTTCTACAGGTATTTTGAGCTATTTGAGAACGAAATTACACTTCTACATTTTTTTAACGTATTTACATATTTATATTATATATATAATTATAAATATATTTAATCAATATCATTCTGCGTGTATTTTGATATTAATATATTAATATAAAAAGACAGTGTGTATGTGTATGTGTATATATATATATATATATATATATATATATATATATATATATATATATATATATAAATAAAATTTTATTTTAAACTGTTTTAACTTTTTTTAAATTACATTTTATAGGCAGCAGGGTGAGTACCTGTCATTACAGGCACTCCCCCTGCTGGCACTTCTATGACAGCTATGCCGTCCATGTGATCGTGAGGTCCTCGCGATCGCATGGCCCAGGAGGGCCGGAACGGCAGCAGGGGGACTCCAGATGCCAGGTGAGTCCCCCCACCGCGATTGCCGGCGTGGGAATGTCAGCGACCGGGTAAGTAAACAGGATGGCAGGGACGTGCTATGCCACCCCCTGGCATTTAGAGCCGGGTCCCCAAGGATGGCATAGCATGCCCGCTGTCCTTAAGGGGTTAACAGAACGTAAATTCAAGGCCTTGGGTGTAAACAGTACTCTTTGACTTAGAAAAATATCCAGTGTCATCACCTAAGTTTATGTTAAAAATTAATTAAAAGGGATACTCTAAGCAAAAATACAATAACTTTAGCGCTGCAGTTTTGGTCTATACATCATGCCCATACAGCCTGCATGGAAAAAACATTGTTTCATTTTAAATCGGGTGTTAACTTACTATAAAAGTTTTTATCTCCTACTCTGTAAATTAAACTTGAATCATACACAGGAGGCTCCTGCAGGGTCTAAAGAAAGCTATTAAAGTAGGATATAGAAAATTCTAAGTTAAACAGAATGTGCAATAAAGGAAGTCTAAACATTACAGCTCTCCTTACAAGAATTGTTTATGCACTTTGTTTATGCAACCCTAGTGACACCTCTCTGCTTGTGATTCACACAGCCTCAAAAGGCTGTGTGAATCACAAGCAGAGAGGTGTCACTAGGGTTGCATAAACAAAGTGATTCAACTCCTAAATGGCAGAGAACTATGCATTGAGACTGCATGGGTGTGAGCTATACAGAACAACAACAAAACATATTCCATTAAGCTAAAGTTGTTTTGGTGCTTACAGTGTCCATTAAACATTAAATAATTTACAGTGAATTGTTTTTGTTTCCTGTTTTTTTTTCAACTTTAAAGTGGCTCTGATGTCTCCCATTGTTTTTTATTCTCTCCCTATTTTATAATCTACTAGTTTTTAATGTAAAATTGCCAATTTGACAAAACTGACTGGTGGAGTACATTTAAGTCAAACCAAAAAGGATAGGTTTATTTGAAACAAAGAGTGTATTTAAGTCAAACAAAATCATACATAGAATATTCACCTCTACCAGTCATCTTGCCTTGTGGCACCTCACTGTGCAAAGCACAAACAGAAACATCTCTTTCACAGAAGCCCACGTGGTCAGCCTTAGATGGTCGTAGACATCAAATACTGGCCTACAGGGCAAAATTTCCCTTTTCTTTCTAACTGTACATATTGCCATATTCGGTGGTCAATTCACAAATTACTGAACTGTGGTAAACTGAAAATCGAATTGCAAAATTTAAGCTATGGCTATTGCAGAGTTAGAGAATATTTCCCAATCAGATTTCCCAAATTGTTCAATTTTGTTTTTAAATCAACTACAATCCCTGAGTGCACATAGCTGCATTCTAAATCAGATCTAAGACGGCAATGTATATCTACACACAGACATCCCATCTAGTGGGCAGACTAGATGGGCCGGATGGTTCTTATCTGCCGTCACATTCTATGTTTCTATGTTGTAATAACAATGTGAAGTAAAACTAGTAATTTTCCTATTAGTTTTTTATACTAAAGTATTACTTTAGTATTATCTGTGGCCTTCAGTATTAAACAAAATATTTTCCATGAATTTATATAAAATAGATTGAGTATTTTAGAGAAAAGCAAAAATTTAAATGTAACTTCTCTTTCTTATTTAGAAATTTGATTGGACGCTGAAAATAGGCAATCTTTTTTACAAACAGAATATAGGTGGCGCTCAAGAGTAGAAAAAAAACAGGGCAACTGATTCACCCAATTATATTTGTCACTAAATATACTTAAAAGTGCAAAACAGTATAAAACCAAACAAGGTGATAAGCACACACACATAAAAAGGATTAATTACTTCACATATAGTCTCTTCTTAACTTAGAATTATATATATTAATCCTATATAAAAACAGAAATAGAACACAACATAGTGTAATCTGTCAGGATATATCGTGAGTAAGATTTAGAATTCAGAACACTCACAATTTTCTATACCCATTAAAGTTGGCTGTGGACTTATGGAGCATATGAATAAATTTCTCTAGCAGTTGGGGTCCCAGGAGGTGCTGAATAGCTGGAAGTAGGAACTCCAAAAAGCGGTAGATGTATAAAGATGATTTATTGCATAGATAAAGCATAAAATAAGTGCACAATGCATTTTAGCCCTACACTTTGGTCTTCCTTAGGTGTTCATACAAATTCTGTCAGTAAAAACATTCTTAATATACATAAATATATTACAATCAATCACACATGTTTAAAAAAAAACACACCCATTTCAAATAGGGTCCAAACTGGATATATACCGCTCCACCCCTAAGATGGTGCCGTTTCCAGTTCAGGCACATATGCAATGAAATTGTTTTGTTTTATTTGTTGGGCATATTTGTTGGGCATAATTATGATGATGTTAAAGGTACACTATAGTCACCAGAACAACTACAGCTTATTGGATTTGTTCTGATGAGTAGAATCATTACCTTCAGGCTTTTTGCTGTAAACACTGTCTTTTCAGAGAAAAAGCAGTGTTTACATTACAGCATAGTGATAACTTCACTGGCCACTCCTCCGATAGCTGTTAGAGATCCTTCCTGGCTCATGGCTGCCTAAAATGCATCCAAACATTCAGTATCTCCTCTCTCTGCATGCAGACACTGAACGTTCCTCATAGAGATTCATTGATTCAATTAATCTCCATGAGGAGATGATGATTGGCCAGGGCTGTGTTTGAATCATGCTGGCTCTGCCCCGATCTGCCTCTTTGTCAGTCTCAGCCTATCCTATGGGGAAGCATTGTGATTGGATCAGGCTACCACTTCTGATGATGTCAGCAAACAGCTTGTTTTTCTGAGACAAACACCATGCAGATCTACAGCTTCAGGCTTGAATACAGTAAGAGTTTGCTATATTTATGGAGGCATGGGGCTAGATGGTGGTTTTAACACTATAGGGTCAGGAATACATGTTTGTGTTCCTGACCCTATATTGATCCTTTAAGTATATCCCATTTATATATTTCAGAAAATATTACTAATATGGCTGTAAAACCGGAAGTATGTGTCCGAACATGAAATGGCACCATCTTAGGGGTGGCACGGTTTATATCCAGTTTGGACCATATTTGAAATGGGTGTGTTTTTTAAACATGCGTGATTTATTGATTGTAATATGTTTATGTATATTAAGAATGTTTTTACTGACAGAATTTGTATGAGTACCTGAGCAAGACCAAAGTGTAGGGTTGAAACGCGTTGTGCACTTATTTTATGTTTTATCTATTCAATAAATCATCTTTATACATCTACCGCTTTTTGGAGTTCCTGCTTCCAGCTATTCAGGACCTCCTGGGACCCCAACTGCTAGAGGAATTTATTTATATGCTCCATAAGTCCAGAGCCAACTTGTGAGTGTTCTGAATTCCAAATCTTACTCAAGATATATCCTGACAGATTACACTATGTTGTGTACTATTTCTCTTTTATATAGGATTAATATATATAATTCTAAATTAAGAAGAGACTATATGTGAGGTAATTAATCCTTTTTATGTGTGCGCTTTTCACCTTGTTTGGTTTTATAATCAATCTAACTCCTATTGTTTACTATAGCGGTTAAGCTGCCTTGAATCCCTCAGTTTAATATTACACCTTTTCGGACTTGCTTAATACAAGGGGAAGGTCATCTTGTTGCTAGGGAACCAACCCAATCTCTCCAGTAATTATTTACCGCCTGTTAATTTTCAAAGTCAAGTTTGTCCAATCTGAATGACATTGATGGGCTGAGAGATAACTGGGATAACCAATCCACAGCAGCATCTTGCTCTACCCAGTTTGCTGACTCCAGACTGTCCTACTCCTATTCCCCATGATCCAGTGTATCCTAACCTAAACCTGTTGGTTCCACTTCCCATCGCCTTTCTAACTACCTAGAATAGGATGCAGGAGGGGGACGCTCAGCACTGTCCATAGGCTGAGGTGACTACACCTGGAGTCAGTGTTAAAGGACCACTATAGTGCCAGGAAAAGATACTCGTCTTCCTGGCACTATAGTGCCCTGAGGGTGCCCCCACCCTCAGGAACCCCCTCCCGCCCGGCTATAGGGTGAGGAAGGGGTTAAATTTACCTCTTTCTCTAGCACCGGGCGGGGGACTCTCCTCCTCCTCGGCTGAATGCGCATCCGCATTCAGCCAGTCCATAGGAAAGCATTCACAATGCTTTCCTATGGATGCTGGCATCTTCTCACTGTGAAAATCACAGTGGGAAGCGCCTCTTGCAGCTGTCAATGAGACAGCCACTAGAGGCTGGATTTACCCTAATGTAAACATAGCAGTTGTTTATAGAAGAAAGGGTTAACCCTAGCTGGACCTGGCACCCAGACCACTATAGCGGTCCTTTAATGTACAGCCTAAAGCGGGGAACTCTCTAGGGGGCCAAATCACACAGTGCGCACAAACACAGCAAGTGAAATAGGGTGTCAATATGTGCTACTAACAGGAAAGCAAACAAGAAAATAAAGCGGTAAATACAGGTGTCAATCCATAGAGAAGCATTAATGCTCAGTCACACTGTGAGTGATAATGTACAGGTAGTGTCAGTGTGAGAGGGTATGTAGCTGGGAGGTGGGCTATTCTCTGTTATTACCGGAGCAGTACACTCTGTGCAGCCATCTCACACTCCCGGCTCCCCGGCTGGGGCTGGCTGCACACAGGCGGCTCAACAGGGAGGAGGACATGCCGCAAACTGTCAGTCTGCCCAGATCACACCGGAACCAGCTCGCCGCCGAATGTTGCACAGGAAGCGGGGACCTATTTTAACAGCACACCGGAAGCTATTGCTGCATGCTCTGTATAGCCAGGGCTTCCACGGAATGAGCTGATTAGATCAGACAGCTCCCATACTGAGCACCTATTACACAGAACCTCACATTGAACCAGCTCTAATACAGAGCACAGCCTGAGTGGCTGTCACAGGTTACTGTGTAATGCCATATGTGGCATGCAGATAGTGTGTTTTATATAATTATTGTATTAAAGCGGCATAGATGAACCTAAATCTGCACTGGTTGGTTATGCTGTCATGACACAATCAGGGTTATTCACTTCGAATTCTCACTTTGGTAACTATTCGTGAATATGTAAGAGACATGGAGTGGGGATTTGGAAGTAAGAAACAAAACAAAGGAGGTTCAGTACATGTGGTGGAATTATAGTAAATGTGCCTTGAAGAATTTCAAGGAATGACCACTCCGATACTGGTAAATAACAGGACCCTGTTGGAGATACAATGAAAGTGAGAAATTATTCTCACCTACCAACATTTCAAATAGACAAGTTTAGGGGTGGGGCAGTTTTGAGAAATTTTAGGTGACTTACTTGTAACAATTCGTGCAACTAAAATGTAATTTAGAACAAGAACAGTGTGTCTTACTTACACATACTGATTTCTGCACATATATAGTGTAGGTTTTAAAAAAAAACCTCTATTTAGGAGCTCTGTTAGACATATTTGACATGCTATCAAAGTTTAACATCATGGGTAAATTCTAGGTTACTTTAGGGTGTGAACATGGCAAGCAGAACATATGGGGTTTCAATTTAATAATTCCCAAATGGGTACTTACAAGCCCAGAGTCAAAATGTATGACTCAATTCACACGTGTTGTGCAGTTTTGGGACTGCACTCCCATCCGTGAAAGATGAATTCAGGGATCAAAATCAAAGAATAAAAACTTAATTTAATATAACAATGTATAAAACAAAAAGAAACAATGTGCCCAATACCAGAACGCGTTTCGCCACTGCACCGTGGCTTTTTCAACTGGATAAATGAATGTAATGTTCCCTGGTTTCTAGATCGTGTTTAAATACTATTCAAATTGGCAGGTGTCGGGTTAGTACCTGTATGCCGCAACACGTTACTACCACCCACAGGTAGAACGTGTGCGATCCAAGCCTCCCTCTCACCCCGCGATCAAAAGCAATCAACAGATATACCTATCTATTATTAGCAACTTGTCATTTCATATTCAATTCTTTTAGAAGTGTCCCAATACATAGTCCATTAGATGTAGTATATTTCTGGCAGAGTTACGATCTCTTCGTCCTCTGTGTGAGGTCCCATGCATCAAATTCCAAAAGGTCCGTTCTAAAATTCTTCTTATGTTAAAAGATACAGTTCGGTTCCATATAAAGCATGTATGTTCGTTAATCACCATAGTCCATAATATTTAATGAATGCATGCAAAAAAGAAAAAGATTTCTATTTCATATAATATTCCATATATCTCCAAATATATATAAAAGATCACCTACTATTTATTTATTTATAAGAGATAGAGAAAAAAAAGAGTTATTAACATACAAAATAAGAACTAATAAGAATACACAGGATATTCCATTTATCTGCAATTATAATACAAGCAACTACCAAGTACGGAGAATTATAAACAAGTATTGGCCAATTTTACTCCAAGATCCAACTTTAAAAGAGATTCTTCCTATAAAACCTAGAATGATATATAGAGGTGCAAGGAACCTTAAAAATACATTAGTAAGAAGCTCTCTTAAAGAAAAGAATCATTCATCGACTTAATTTAATAATGAGAAAGGCTTCTATGGATGTGGTCAATGTACAACATGCAAGAGGTCAAGATGTACCAGAAGGGTGGTCAAGGATATAGCTCTGAATAAGGACGTTACAATCCCTATTAAACAATTTATGACATTATACAAAAAATTTAGTCTATCTTTTGACATGCCCGTGTGGACTTAGGTATGTAGGTAGGACAACTAGACCTCTACATATAAGAATCCGAGATCATATATATAAAATCCAAAAAGGATTCGAACAACATAGTGTTTCATTCCACTTTAAGCAATTCCATAATCAGAAGCCGGAAGGTCTAACATTTATGGGGATACAGAAGTTAGATAAAAATTGGAGAGGGGGCGATTTTACTAAAGAGTTAGGAAAGTCTGAAATGGAGTGGATCTAAAAATTAAATACATTGATCCCCTATGGTTTGAATTCAGACTTTGAGTTATGCTATTTTTGCCTTTTTTCTCCTTCCCTTTTTTTTTTCTGAATTTTTAGCATTTGCACCACTATCCTATGAAGTACAAAAATGGATTAGAAGTTAATGTAGTAATTTATGTATTTGTTGTATTATAATTTTAGAATAACTCATATAAGGTTTATTTGTATCTGTTTTTGGATATTGGACTGATACAAAACCCCTAGCTCAAAAGAGCAAGATGATGTATTATAATTAAATAAATAAATAGTAGGTGATCTTTTATATATATTTGGAGATATATGGAATATTATATGAAATAGAAATCTTTTTCTTTTTTGCATGCATTCATTGAATATTATGGACTATGGTGATTAACGAACATACATGCTTTATATGGAATCGAACTGTATCTTTTAACATAAGAAGAATTTTAAAACGGACCTTTTGGAATTTGATGCATGGGACCTCACACAGAGGACGAAGAGATCGTAACTCTGCCAGAAATATACTACATCTAATGGACTATGTATTGGGACACTTCTAAAAGAATTGAATATGAAATGGCAAGTTGCTAATTATAGATAGGTATATCTGTTGATTGCTATTGATCGCGGGGTGAGAGGGAGGCTTGGACCGCACACGTTCTTTTTTTTATTTTTTTAATTCTTTATTTTACGGTGCATGTTTACATTTCTTGCATTTCTGTGACAGAGGTGGTATCAAATACAGGAGTGAAGAGACAGTTTCACATATCACATAAGTCTGCACACAATTTTCCTTTTTTTTAACAGGTTACTGTACAGTTGTGGTCTCTAACGTTAACGTGCGCACCCATGCTGTGAGTCTAATCCTGTGTTTGGTCTTTCTAGGTAGCCAGGCGTATAGCCTAGTCAAGCTAAGGTGTTTTGTTTTGGTTTTTATTTTTGTTACAAGCGGGTTAGTTGTAGCCGTTGTGTGTTCTGTGTAGCATTGGGTCACAGTGTGAAGTGTGTTATGATGAGCTGTTACAGGTTTGTGGTTGCCCCTAACCAAGGGGGTAGCGGGGGGGGTGGGGGTAATGTGTTGTATACTACGTGTGTGGTTCCCTGCCGCCTCCACTCCGTCCAGCCCCGGTTCTGGCGTAGGCGGAGCAGAGGATGTGTGTGTTTGTGTTTCCTCTGAGACTATGTGTTGGCTGATGAGCCCGGCTTGACTTTGAGAGAACATACCGACATAAACAAGTGAGAGTACATGAAAGCCACAAAAAAAATAAAAATAATAATAATAATAATGAACCACTTTGAAACAAGCTAACAATTATTTCCATGGTTAACTATTGCCCTGTTGGGTAGGGCTGTGTCCTTTTTGACCAGTTGACGGGTACAGTTTTCCGTCATGGAGGGGTGTGTGTACTTCCGAAGGGTCGAGGTATGAACGAGTTCACCGTGGCGGGGTCCCCCATCTGTGAAGGGCTATTCGTGCCCATAGTTCTGTGTGTGTCCGTGAGTCCTAAAGTCACTAGTATTGCAGGGATTTCGGCTTCCGACGTGGCTTTGTAAGTGTTGCCGTTGTGTGTGACCGTTATGATCCTAGGTGCTCCCCATCGGTACTGCACTCCCGCTGCTCTCAGGCGGCTGGTTAGGTTGTACATCGATTTCCTCCATTGCAATGTTGCCCTTGTCAGGTCTTGGAAGAACAACAGCTGGACATTTTCGAACTGCAAGGGTGTCTTGCCTTTTACTGCTGTCAGAATGTTGATTTTATCTTGTGTCGTGGTACAGCACAGAATGACGTCTCGTGCCCCTGTAGATGGTGAGTTGGGCCCTGCTGGCAGGCGGTATGTGCTTTCCAGTGTGATTTTTCGGGCGGTTTGAGGTGATAAGATTGTGCTCAAGAGCCTTCTGATGAAGTGAGGTATTTCGGAGTGGGAAATCGTAGCGGGCACCCCCCGGAGTTTAATGTGATTGCGCTGTAGGAGGTCTCCTTGGGAGGATAGCTGCGCCGCAAGTGCCTGTTGTGTTGCTCGCATATCTTGCAGGGATTGTTTGAGATGGGACATTTCGTTTGTTACCTGCGCTACGTTTTCTTCTACCATGGCTACTCTGGCCGTGTTTTGCCGGACCTCTGCCTTTATGGTGCCTATATCTGTAGCTATTAGGTCCTGGAGTTCCTGCATCCAGCGTTGGAGGTCCTGTTTCGTGGCTAGATTGTGGTCCCCCGTTTCTGCAGGGTTTTCTGGAAGAGTTGGGAGTGTTGCCCTTCTGGACCCTTCCGTTGGCGCTGCTTGTGGTCGGGCTGGTGGTACAGGCAGTGCCTCGGTTGCTGAGGCTTCTTGTGGTTGCGCCATTGGTGTAGGCCGCGTTAGTGCAGAGGAGGCCTCCCCCGCCGCCATCTTGTGTGGGGTTTTTCGTTGCAATAGTTCCCCGATGTCGGGTTGTTCAGCCGGTGAGCTCTGCCTGCCCTTCTGGGAGCGGCGTGTCGTTGCTGGGGTGTCCACTGTTACCGTGGTGTTCTCCCCTACCGTTCTCTGCTCGGTGTATCCACGGTATCCGCCGAGGAACGTCTCCAGAGTGTGGAGAGTTGGCTGGTAGTAGGCCCGGGTTTTTCGTTTATTCTTCCCGGTCTTCGGGGGTTGGAAAAAGGGCATTAGTCTGCTCCTCTTGGTGCCCCAAGTCAGTCAGTGGCTTTGGTGGTGTAGTTTTATGTGTTAGTTTCGGGCTTTCGTCGGTAGAATTTGGTTACAAGCAGGAGCTGATAGAATGTGCGTCTAGTCGGGATCAGTCTCAGGCTCCGCCCCCCCGCACACGTTCTACCTGTGGGTG